TAAAAGATGTTTAACTGGAAGTATACCAAGGAGAGCTCAACATATAAAGCTAAGGAGCAATATATTGATAATATTAGTGGAAAATATACATACATATGCAAAATATATAAAAATACCCATACATGTATATTTTCAGAAAAAAATTTTCCAAGAGGAAGAATCCAGGTAGAACTCAATGTCTAGGACAGAGTAAGGATATAATAAAAAGGCTTAAATTTTATGGTCATAATTTATTCCATTGGAATCGTAAATACGATCCAAATCATCAGACCTACAAATTCAAAATGAAAACAGAAAAATCAACTCCGGAAACCAAAACAGAATTTAGAGGTGAGTCGGTTGGCTATCGTTCAATCTATTCGACTGTTATATTTACCAGCCTCCGCACGAGGTAGTATGTGGCACAAAGCCAAGTTTAATGTGGGACATTCCGAGCCCGTAGACTCGGCCAAAAATTCCCCTTAGACCCTGTATAAAACGGGGTCGGGTAGCTGTTTCCCTGGACAAGTCTCTGCCCTTCGATAAAGCCTTGTCTGGGGATCCTTTCTTAAATGACAATAAATGCAATGTTTATTGACCTTCTAACGAGGTTAAAGGTTAAATTAAATCAATAATGTTTAATACCAGGAATAAAAGTGACTGAAGTCGAGAGGCTAGGTCAGCACTAATAATATTGCAGATTTTTCTTTGGTTTTCCTCAAGAATCTCTAGAGATATAGCAGAAAAACTATATCAAATGTGAAAATAATATTCAATACATGGACGATTGGTAGACTTATAAATGTGCAAGAGAACTTTGTTAGCTCTTCTTTTCTATCATCCATTTACTCAAACTCTCTAGGTAGGTTATGCATTCTTTTCCCCCTCTCTCTCTCACCCATTCTCTCTCTCTATCTCTCTCTATCTCTCTCTCTCTCTTACTCTTTTCACCCCAAGGCAATAAAACCAACAAGGCGTGACTGAGTGTTAACGTGGGAGAATATAAGAAAGAAAAAATATTATTTACGAGCAAGAGCAACAAAAGAGAAATTGAGAAGACCGAAGACAGATGATTAGCATTGCATTTAAATTTTTGAAAATCAAAGGCAATAAAGCCACTAGGACGCAAGGGTTTACTGAGTGTTAGAGAATATGAGAAAAACTACTATAAATGAGAGGGAAGAATAAAAGAATTAAGAATACAGAAGATAACGATTGGCATTGCATTTACATTTTTGAAGATCAAAGTTGGCTGGAAAGCAAGAAGTCGAAAAAGATTTCCCCAAACGAGAAGTGCGACAGAAGAAACTGTTATGTGGGACCGATTCCCATGATGAAGCTTCCCCGATGGCTATGATCTTACACTTTTCAACAGTTATCTTTCCCCACATGACCTCATAAACAGTGCCTCTTAGTCTATAATCCTCTACTTCGAGAGGCTCTTGGAACATGTACAGGGTGACCTTCTTTGTCAAAAACAATGTTTATCCAGTCAAAGATAGGGTTCGTAATTCATAATCATTATCAGTCTCTTGACTGCTTCAAATCGTCGTGGAGGGAGTCCTAAGAGCAAAAGAAACAGGCATAATCTGTTGACAGTGGCTCTCAGGACTTCCGGTATTGACATATCCGTCCGCTCTTTGATGTTATCTGACCAGCTCTTGCGTTTTTATCCCCCGCTTGCGTCCGCCTTCAACGGTGTCTTGTATGATGGCCTTACGGAGGCTGTCATGCCGTGTGACGTGGCCAAACAATGCCATCTTCCGACACTTCTTAGTGGAAAGGAGAGGTTCCTGTCGACCCCCGAGACTTTTGACCTTTCTTGGTACAGAGTGATTGGTTTTCTTTCTCCAAGTAGGAGATCCGGAAGGGATTTTAACAAGCATTTGTTCTTGAATGCCTGGATCCTTTTCTTGCCTCAATCTGGAGTTTTCAACTCTCACAACCGTGGTGGGGGATATAATTAGGCTTTTATGTTCTCTTCTACTGGTATCTCATTATTCGTCGAGCTTGAACTTGGTATGGAAGTTGATGGTGCTCTGCCACATCCTTTTCAGTCCGGCATTCGCTGCTGTGGCTGTGTCGATCCGTGAGTGGATTATACACGGTGAACATCTTTGTCAAAAAACAATGTTTACCCAGTCCAAGATAGTGTTCGTAATGCATCATCATCATCATCATCATCATCATCATCATCATCATCATCAGCCTCTTGCCTGCTTCAGTCGTCGTAGAAAGGGTGCTAAGGGCAGAAGATGCAGGCAACCTCCTCCAGGATGATCTGTTGGCAGTGGCTCTCAGGACTGGCATTGTCATATCTTTCCACTCTTTGATGTTATCTGACCAGCTCTTGCGTTTCCATTCCCCGCTTGCGTCCCGCTTTCAACGGTGCCTTGCATGATGGTCTTGCGGAGACCGTAATGCCGTGTGACGTGAGCAAACCATACCATCTCCCGACGGTTAATATTGGCGAGAAGAGATTCCAGCATTTGTTCTGCCTCAAGATAGGGTTCATAATTCATCATCATCGTCAATCCCTTGACTGCTTAAATCGTCGTGTAGACGGGGCTAAGGGAGAAGAAACAGAGAACCTTCTGCAGGATGACCTGTTGGCGGTGGTTCTCACGAGTTCCGGCATTGTTGTCTACTCTCAGCTCTTGAGTTGCCGTCCTCGCTTTCATCCGCCTTCTACGAGCCTTGCATCATTGTCTTGCAGAGACTGCTATGCCGTCTGAACTGGCCAAACCATGACATCTTCCGACACTTAATAGTGGCGAGGAGAGATTCTTGTCGGCCCACGAGGCGTTTGATCTGGCTCCGTACAGCGTTATTGGTTTCGTGGTAAAAATAGGAGAACCAGAAGAGCTTTCTCAAGCATTTGTTCTCGAGCGCCTGCACCCTTTTCCTCGCCCCAACTAAGAGTGTCCAAGTCTCACACCCGTAGAAGAGGATGGATACGAACAGCGATTCGTCGAGATTGAACTTGGTATGGAAGCTGATGTTGCTCTTCCATATCCTTTCCAGTCCGGCCATCGCTGCTGTGGCTGTAGCGATCCGTGAGCGGATTACTGCGTCGAAGGTACTATTTTTGACAGGTTTGCACCCAAGTATCTGAAGCTGGGAACTTCCTTTCTGGAATTCCGGTATTGTCTTATCCGTCCAATCTTTGGTGTTGTCTGACCAGCTCTTGCGTTGCCGCCCGCCTTCTACAGTGTCTTGTATGATGGTATTCTGGGGGTTGTTATTCCGTGTGACGTGGACAAACCATGACATCTTCCGACGCTTAATAATAGCGAGGACAGATTCCTGTCGGCTCACGAGCCTTTAGAACATGCTCCGTACAGAATCATTGGTTTCGGGATACCAGTAGGAGAATAGGAGGAGTTTTCTTAAGCATTTGTTCTCGAACGCCTGCACCCTTTTCCCCGCCCCAACTAAGAGTGTCCAAGTCTCACACCCGTAGAAGAGGATGGATACGAACAGCGATTCGTCGAGATTGAACTTGGTATGGAAGCTGATGTTGCCTTTCCATATTCATATCGTAACTTTCACTTACGCGCAAATACCCTTGAGAAATGTATGAATCTGTCTGCTCCCCATCTATGGGTTAAATAGTAGGTATTTTATCTGAAAAACTCATTGTTATTCACGAAAAATTGTCCAACAAAATCAAATTCACGCGAATAGTCTCGTCATCTCCGCTACAGCCAGCAGGGGAGAGAAAGGGAATAGCGGAGGAGGATGACGATCCCAATGCTTGGATACAAGCCGGTACCGACATCAACAACAACAACAAAAGACAGTAAAAATATGTATCATCTTTAAATAGCCCTCAAAGGGTTGGTAATCTGTAAAGCACATCAATGAAAGATCACATCAAAACCTTTTGTGGAGATCAATAAATGTAAGAATTAATTGGTGAAAATTCAGATGATTATAGCGGGGGGGTGGTGCAGAACGATCTAAGCGAGTTGCACAATTTTTCTTGGGTTACTCTTGCTCTATACGACATTGCGTCGTCATGGAGTGACATCATATTTTAATTCACTGTTTATACTGTCGTTGCCTGACGAAAAATTTAGTTATGTTGATGATCTGCCATTTAGAATTAGTAATTAGATAAATACGTCCATCATTAAATTGGATCGACAGAACAAAAATGATTTATTATCCAACCTAACACTCAGACAGATATAAATAATAAACAATGCTGAAGATTATGGCGTCTTATACTAAACATGAAAAGAATGTTCCTTTTGCTCGAGATAATCTCTGGTAATGAGTATCACTTACCTTGCACCGTCATATCAGCCAACTACTAAATCTGTTTAATCCCAAACATTACGCTGCGTTTTTCGATGGAAACGAATTAAAGCATTAGCCTTGGCGCCCACTGTGAATTTGTAACAATAATTACCTGAAGGTATCGCTGGTAATCGAGGCGATCAGCTTCATCCAAGTAATATCCGGTTGTATCAACAAGATGGCTTTGTCACTTGAGGTTCCTCGCCTTTCTGTTCAGTTAGGGCGGGATAGAATTTACTCGACACATCCTTCCCCGTATCGCCGATACGCGACTCTTTGAAGCAATCTCGGAAAAGCGATTAGAGAAATCAGATAGGGAGCAGTGTTTCTGGTCAGGTCCGCCTTGTGTTTGCCGGAATTTAGGAGTAAAGCCGTTTATTTGGTGATCCTTCTATTTGGCAATTATCCTGCAATTACATGCTTAGCATAACGCTGCCCAGATAAGCTGAAACAGAGTAAATCTCTAAGGGCCGCCTGACCCGTATTAGCTTATCTCTTGTTCTTTTCTCACCTTACTCTCCCACGTTTGGAAAGCGAGCGAAACGCAAACACATTGCTCTCCTCATAGACCTCCTCGCAATGATTTGCAGTCTTTGAAAAATTACCGTCTTTCGATTTTCTGACTATAATTCGCGATTTGATTTTCTGTCTGTCTGTGTGTCTGTCCCAGTGCCATTTATTCTTTTAATTTTAACATTTCTCTTTTTCTTTCTTAGACTAAAACTTTTTCTTTTCTTTCTATGTATTTATTATTCTCTGGTATTTTAGAATCTTTCTTTCTTTCTTTCTTTTTTCTTTCTTTCTTTCTTTCTCTCGTTCGTTCTTTAGCATTTATTATTCTCTGGCATTTCGGAATACACTTTCTTTCTTTCTTTCTTTCTTTCTTTCTTTCGTCTTTCTTTCTTTCCTTCTTCCTTCCGTTTTTTCTTTCGTTCTTTCTTTCTTTCTCTCGTTCGTTCTATAGCATTTATTATTCTCTGGCATTTCGGAATACTCTTTCTTTCTTTCTTTCTTTCTTTCTTTCTTTCTTCTTTCTTTCTTTCCTTCTTCCTTCCTTTTTTTCTTTCGTTCTTTCTTTCTTTCTCTCGTTCGTTCTATAGCATTTATTATTCTCTGGCATTTCGGAATACTCTTTCTTTCTTTCTTTCTTTCTTTCTTTCTTTCTTTCCTTCTTCCTTCCGTTTTTTCTTTCGTTCTTTCTTTCTTTCTCTCGTTCGTTCTATAGCATTTATTATTCTCTGGCATTTCGGAATACTCTTTCTTTCTTTCTTTCTTTCTTTCTTTCTTTCTTCCTTCCGTTTTTTCTTTCGTTCTTTCTTTCTTTCTCTCGTTCGTTCTATAGCATTTATTATTCTCTGGCATTTCGGAATACTCTTTCTTTCTTTCTTTCTTTCTTTCTTTCTTTCTTTCTTTCCTTCTTCCTTCCGTTTTTTCTTTCGTTCTTTCTTTCTTTCTCTCGTTCGTTCTATAGCATTTATTATTCTCTGGCATTTCGGAATACTCTTTCTTTCTTTCTTTCTTTCTTTCTTTCTTTCTTTCTTTCCTTCTTCCTTCCGTTTTTTTCTTTTCGTTCTTTCTTTCTTTCTCTCGTTCGTTCTATAGCATTTATTATTCTCTGGCATTTCGGAATACTCTTTTCTTTCTTTCTTTCTTTCTTTCTTTCCTTCTTCCTTCCGTTTTTTCTTTTCGTTCTTTCTTTCTTTCGCTCGTTCGTTCTATAGCATTTATTATTCTCTGGCATTTCGGAATACTCTTTCTTTCTTTCTTTCTTTCTTTCTTTCTTTTCTTCCTTCCGTTTTTTTTTTTCGTTCTTTCTTTCTTTCTCTCGTTCGTTCTATAGCATTTATTATTCTCTGGCATTTCGGAATACTCTTTCTTTTTTCTTTCTTTCTTTCTTTCTTTCTTTCCTTCTTCCTTCCGTTTTTTCTTTCGTTCTTTCTTTCTTTCTCTCGTTCGTTCTATAGCATTTATTATTCTCTGGCATTTCGGAATACTCTTTCTTTCTTTCTTTCTTTCTTTCTTTCTTTCTTTCTTTCCTTCTTCCTTCCGTTTTTTCTTTCGTTCTTTCCGTTCCTTCTTTCTTTCTCTCGTTCGTTCTATAGCATTTATTATTCTCTGGCATTTCGGAATACTCTTTCTTTCTTTCTTTCTTTCTTTCTTTCTTCCTTCCGTTTTTTTTTTTTCTTTCTTTTCTTTCTTTCTCTCGTTCGTTCTATAGCATTTATTATTCTCTGGCATTTCGGAATACTCTTTCTTTCTTTCTTTCTTTCTTTCTTTCCTTCTTCCTTCCGTTTTTTCTTTCGTTCTTTCTTTCTTTCTCTCGTTCGTTCTATAGCATTTATTATTCTCTGGCATTTCGGAATACTCTTTCTTTCTTTCTTTCTTTCTTTCTTTCTTTCTTTCTTTCTTTCCTTCTTCCTTCCGTTTTTTCTTTCGTTCTTTCTTTCTTTCTCTCGTTCGTTCTATAGCATTTATTATTCTCTGGCATTTCGGAATACTCTTTCTTTCTTTCTTTCTTTCTTTCTTTCCTTCTTCCTTCCGTTTTTTCTTTCGTTCTTTCTTTCTTTCGCTCGTTCGTTCTATAGCATTTATTATTCTCTGGCATTTCGGAATACTCTTTCTTTCTTTCTTTCTTTCTTTCTTCCTTCCGTTTTTTCTTTCGTTCTTTCTTTCTTTCTCTCGTTCGTTCTATAGCATTTATTATTCTCTGGCATTTCGGAATACTCTTTCTTTCTTTTTCTTTCTTTCTTTCTTTCTTTCTTTTCTTTCCTTCTTCCTTCCGTTTTTTTCTTTCGTTCTTTCTTTCTTTCTCTCGTTCGTTCTATAGCATTTATTATTCTCTGGCATTTCGGAATACTCTTTCTTTCTTTCTTTTTTCTTTCTTTCTTTTCTTTCTTTCCTTCTTCCTTCCGTTTTTTCTTTCGTTCTTTCTTTCTTTCTCTCGTTCGTTCTATAGCATTTATTATTCTCTGGCATTTCGGAATACTCTTTCTTTCTTTCTTTTCTTTCTTTCCTTCTTCCTTCTTTCTTTTTTTCTTTCGTTCTTTCTTTTTCTTTCTCTCGTTCGTTCTATAGCATTTATTATTCTCTGGCATATCGGAATACTCTTTCTTTCTTTCTTTCTTTCTTTCTTTCTTTTCCTTCTTCCTTCCGTTTTTTTCTTTCGTTTTTTTCTTTCTTTCTCTCGTTCGTTCTATAGCATTTATTATTCTATGGCATTTCGGAATACTCTTTCTTTCTTTCTTTCTTTCTTTCTTTCTTTCTTTCCTTCTTCCTTCCATTTTTTTCTTTCGTTCTTTCTTTCTTTCTCTCGTTCGTTCTATAGCAATTATTATTCTCTGGCATTTCGAATACTCTTTCTTTCTTTTCTTTCTTTCTTTCTTTCTTTCTTTCTTTCTTTTCCTTCTTCCTTCCGTTTTTTTCGTTCTTTCTTTTCTTTCTTTTTTTCTCTCGTTCGTTCTATAGCATTTATTATTCTCTGGTATTTCGGAATACTCTTTCTTTCTTTCTTTCTTTCTTTTTCTTTCCTTCTTCCTTCCGTTTTTTCTTTCGTTCTTTCTTTTTTCTCTCGTTCGTTCTATAGCATTTATTATTCTCTGGCATTTCGGAATACTCTTTCTTTCTTTCTTTCTTTTCTTTCTTTTCTTTCCTTCTTCCTTCCGTTTTTTCTTTCGTTCTTTTTCTTTCTTTCTCTCGTTCGTTCTATAGCATTTATTATTCTCTGGCATTTCGAATACTCTTTCTTTCTTTCTTTCTTTCTTTCTTTCTTTCTTTTTCTTTCCTTCTTCCTTCCGTTTTTTTCTTTCGTTCTTTCTTTCTTTCTCTCGTTCGTTCTATAGCATTTATTATTCTCTGGCATTTCGAGAATACTTTCTTTCTTTCTTTCTTTTTCTTTCTTTCTTTTCTTTCTTTCTTCTTCCTTCCGTTTTTTCTTTTCGTTCTTTCTTTCTTTCTCTCGTTCGTTCTATAGCATTTATTATTCTCTGGCATTTCGGAATACTCTTTCTTTCTTTCTTTTCTTTCCTTCTTCCTTCCGTTTTTTCTTTCGTTCTTTCTTTCTTTCTCTCGTTCGTTCTATAGCATTTATTATTCTCTGGCATTTCGGAACTCTTTCTTTTTTCTTTCTTTTCTTTCTTTTTTTCTTTCTTTCCTTCTTCCTTCTTCCTTTTTTTCTTTTCGTTCTTTTTTTCTTTCTTTCTCTCGTTCGTTCTATAGCATTTATTATTCTCTGGCATTTCGGAATACTTTTTTCTTTCTTTCTTTCTTTTCTTTCTTTCTTCCTTCCGTTTTTTCTTTCGTTCTTTCTTTCTTTCTCTCGTTCGTTCTATAGCATTTATTATTCTCTGGCATTTCGGAATACTCTTTCTTTCTTTCTTTCTTTCTTTTTTCCTTCTTCCTTCCGTTTTTTCTTTCGTTCTTTCTTTTCTTTCTCTCGTTCGTTCTATAGCATTTATTATTCTCTGGCATTTCGGAATACTCTTTCTTTCTTTCTTTCTTTCTTTCTTTTTTCTTCTTCCTTCCGTTCTTTCTTTCGTTCTTTCTTTCTTTCTCTCGTTCGTTCTATAGCATTTATTATTCTCTGGCATTTCGGAATACTCTTTCTTTCTTTCTTTCTTTCTTTCTTTCTTTCTTCCTTCCGTTTTTTCTTTCGTTCTTTCTTTCTTTCTCTCGTTCGTTCTATAGCATTTATTATTCTCTGGCATTTCGGAATACTTTTTCTTTCTTTCTTTTCTTTCTTTCTTTCTTTCCTTCTTCCTTCCGTTTTTTCTTTCGTTCTTTCTTTCTTTCTCTCGTTCGTTCTATAGCATTTATTATTCTCTGGCATTTCGGAATACTCTTTCTTTCTTTCTTTCTTTCTTTCTTTCTTTCCTTCTTCCTTCCGTTTTTTCTTTCGTTCTTTCTTTCTTTCTCTCGTTCGTTCTATAGCATTTATTATTCTCTGGCATTTCGGAATACTCTTTCTTTCTTTCTTTCTTTCCTTCTTCCTTCCGTTTTTTATTTCGTTCTTTCTTTCGTTCCTTCTTTCTTTCTCTCGTTCGTTCTATAGCATTTATTATTCTCTGGCATTTCGGAATACTCTTTTCTTTCTTTCTTTCTTTTCTTTCTTTCCTTCATCCTTCCGTTTTTTCTTTCGTTCTTTCTTTTTTTTCTCTCGTTCGTTCTATAGCATTTATTATTCTCTGGCATTTCGGAACTCTTTCTTTCTTTTTTTTCTTTCTTTCTTTCCTTTTCCGTTTTTTTTTCTTCTTTCCTTCGTTCGTTTTTTTATTTCGTTCTTTCTTTCTTTCTTTCGTTCCGTTTCTTTTCTTTCTTTCTTTTTTTCTCTCGTTCGTTCTATAGCATTTATTATTCTCTGGCATTTCGGAATACTATTTCTTTCTTTCTTTCTTTCTTTCTTTCTTTCAGCCTTCCGTTTTTTCTTTCGTTCTTTCTTTCTTTCTCTCGTTCGTTCTATAGCATTTATTATTCTCTGACATTTCGGAATACTCTTTCTTTCTTTCTTTCTTTCTTTCTTTCCTTCTTCCTTCCGTTTTTTCTTTCGTTCTTTCTTTCTTTCTCTCGTTCGTTCGATAGCATTTATTATTCTCTGGCATTTCGGAATACTTTTTCTTTCTTTCTTTCTTTCTTTCTTTCTTCCGTTTTTTCTTTCGTTCTTTCTTTCTTTCTCTCGTTCGTTCTATAGCATTTATTATTCTCTGGCATTTCAGAATACACTTTCTTTCTTTCGTTCCTTCGTTAGTACTTTAGAATTTATTATTCTCTGGCACTTCAGAATCATTATTTCTGACGTTCGTTCCTTTATTTTTCTTAATTTTTTTGTCATTTTTCTTTTGTTCGCTCTCACTTTCGTTCGTCCTATATTTGTTTCTTTCTTTGGTTCGTTTTTTCTTTCTTTCTTTCTTTCTTTCTTTCTTTCTTTCTTTCTTTTTATGTCCGCTCTTCTTCTCTATATTTTACATCTTCCATTTTTTTTTCCTTTAGAGCAAATTCGTTTACCCAAATTCACTGATCTTACACCAACGTATTTAGTTCGTTTTCTCTCTTTTTCAATTTCTCTCTTATTTTTCTCATGAGTCATATCTCTCTGTCTGTCTCTGTGTCTGACTCTCTGTCTGACGGTCACTCTCTGTATGTCTCTATCTCTATCTCTCTCTCTCACACACACACCTCTCTCACGCACGCGCTGGATTCTTCCGTGTTTGTGTTAAAAAAAAATCAGTTTGGTAAATCGCACTTTCTACACATTTCTAGTTTTGAATGATTTCACAGTTCTTTTCGTTACCTTCTCCCTTTCTGAGTAAATGCACTTTCTTTCACTCTCTTCCCCTAAATATGGATCTGCATGTTTAACATAATTTATGCACTGATTAATTTTTTTTTTAAGCCTGGAAAAATCATTACATTTCTCATTTTAAGTACTTTCACCGTTCTCTACTTTACCATCTACCGGGCTGAATACATGCCTTTTCATTACCTCCCTTTCCCTAAATTTCAATCTGCATGTTTAACATAACTTATTATTAACTTATTTTTTAAGCCAGGTAAAATCACTACAGTTTTAGTTTTGAATACATTCACCGTTCTCTGATTTATCTTTTCCCTGTCTGAATACAAGCTGCATATTTAACATAATTTATGCTCATATTGAGTTGTTTTTTTATTATTTTTTTTGAGCCTGGTAAAATCTTTACATTTCTCGTTTTGAATAATTTCACCGATATCTACTTTACCTTCTCCCTGTGTGAATACATGCCATTTTATTCCCTCCCTTCCCCTAAATTTGAATCTGCATATTTAACATAATTTATGCTCCGATTGAGTAATTTTGAAGGATGGTAAAATCTATATATTTCTCGGTTTAAATACTTTCACCGTTCTTTTCGTTATAATTCCCTCTCTGAATACATGCCGTTTCTTTCCCTCTTTTCCATTAAATTTGAAACTGCATATTTAACATAATTTATGCTCTCACTGAGTTTAATTTAAGCCTGGTAAAATTTTGACATTTCTCGATTTGAACACATTCACCGTTCTCTTCTTTATCTTTTCACTGTCTGAATACATGCCCTTTCTTTCCCTCCTTTCCATTAAATCTGAATCTGCATATTTAACATAATTTATGCTCTGATTGGGTTTTTTTTTAAACCTCGTAAAATCTTTCCATTTCTAGTTTTGAATACTTTGACCGTTCTTTGTTTGCTTTTTCCACGTCTAAATATATGCACTTTCTTTCCCTCCTTTCCATTAAATCTGAATCTGCATATTTAACATAATTTATGCTCTGATTGAGTTTTTTTTTAATTTTAGCCTGGTAAAATCTTTCCATTTCTAGTTTGTATACATTCACCGATCACTTCCTTACATTTTCCCCGTCTGAATACATGCCCTTTCTTCCCCTCCATCCCATTGAATTTGAATCTGCATATTTAACATAATTTTTGCACTGAATGAGTTTTTTTTGTTTTAGCCTGGGAAAATCTCTCCATTTCTAGTTTTGTATACATTCACCGTTCACTTCCTTACATTTTCCACGTCTGCATACATGCCCTTTCTTTCCCCACTTTGCATTAAATTTGAATCTGCATATTTAACATAATTTATGCTCCTGGTAAAATCTTTCCATATCTTGTTTTGAATACTTTCACCGTTCTTTTTCTTTACATTTTCCCCGTCTTAAATCTTTCCCTGAATTTACATTAAATTTGAATATGCATATTTAACATAATTTTTGCTCTGATTATTTTTTTTTTTTTTTTAAGCCTGGTAAAATCTTTGCCTATTTTTATTTGTGCGCAAATATCGTTCTGTTGTGTGTTGATCGAATATTCGATACTTACGAAATAAATATCACCATGGTCTTGTAATTGTTCGTTTTTTATTATATATATATATATATATATATATATATATATATATATATATATATATATAAACAGTTTGCGATATATAAATTGTTGCCCTTTCATTTTTTTAATTTCGCGCTTGCTCATTGTTTGTTTTTGATATATACGACTACATAATATAGTAGCCTTCCTTCGGCACCTTTTTTGAAAAAGAACACCATGAAGCAATTCATATCTCCATACAAATCTGGAAACTGCATGCCGTACTGCTTACCGGAATATCTAATATATTTCAGTGTTTTGGTGTCAATCTGAGGAATTGCAGTTTTCTTCTACTCACACTGGTTATAACCCTTGCCAGTGGCTGGTGATGGTCACCTTCAACTGGCAGTCATTTTAAAGTGCCTCTGATGTATATCCAGAATGTTCTTGGGATATGACCATCCTAGAAAAGATAAGACCAGTTGTCGTTTCGTAGGTAAAATATACCATAATTCTGACAATAACAATTCCTCTGCAATGATCCTTTTTTAATTAATGACCACATTCTATAGCATCCAACACCATACTGCCATATCTACACTACCTCCTTACAAGCTACGTCATAGTACTGAGAACATTTCTACAATTCGTTAAGGCGAGACAAGAAAACACTTCCACTTAAACTATTTTAAACAGCATTCATCTTACAGAGAGGAGAAAATAACGATTATCTTTTTATTACATTAATTTGTGTTCTCAATCGTGTACCATATTATTCTCCGGAATTAACTAATTTTCAATATATGTGTGTGTCAACCTTTCCTATTTACGACTCAACAGATATTAAAACGTAGCAGCCATTAAAAAGAAAGCAGAAAGCAACTAAATATAAAATCGATTAGACTGTAACTCGAAGCATCTGGGGTATCAGAAATTTAAAATTTAAATTTTATGTTAAGCGTGCTGGCATCTTCTAAGTCTCTGTAGATGTATAATTTAACCAAAGTTTGTTTGTAATTCGAGCCCTCTCCCCCCTACATATCATATAATAATTGTTAGTGCTTTAATCTGCACGACCGTTACGCCCTGCCTATACCTCATAAATAATGAACTATTCCGTTTTGATCGCGTTTAGAAACAAAAATAATATAAGTACAATGCTTGCTTTCAGTGAGAAAATTAAAGAAAGAAGGGTAGATAGAAGTATTTAACGTCTGTTTCAGTGAAATGGAAAACGTTGTCAATTTTAAATAATTCATTTGTACCCACTTACTTCTTAAAATAACAGACAGCATTCATATTTATGATTATCATGGCAATATTTTGTTAAAGATGTTAAGCTCACAAATTTGACGATACTTGTGATTGGGGAATTTCTACGGATATATTATTGTCGTAGAACTCACCAGGAGTTTATTGTCATTATCTTAAGAAATAAGATTATCAGAATTTTTTATGGATTAAATCTCGTATATGTAATTTTGTTAACCATTTCACCCCAGCCAAGGTAAGAAAGACATCAAGACGCAAGAGGTTATTGTGTGTAAAATAATATAAGAAAAGGAAAAACATTATTAAGGAAGGGGAACAACAAAAGAACAGGTATTAAGAAAACAGAAGATAGCGATTGACATTGCATTTAAATTTTTAAAGTTCAAACTTCGCTGGAAAGCAAAATGCCGGAAGCGAGAAGTTCGATAGCAGAAACTGTCAACATAGAACTTATGGTTACAACTAGGCAATTCAAGAGTAAAATAATGAGACCTATCTGCCAATCTAGTACTGCTCTTAAATTCATAAAGTCTAGGTACCAAAGAGGATAGCTCATCAAGACAATTAACATGAACATACTTATCAGATTAAGAAACTGTTAGTATAGAAATTACGGTTACATCTAGCTATTTCAACTGTAAAATGATGAGACGTATCTGCCAATCTAGTACTGCTCTTAAATTCATAAAGTCTCGGTACCAAAGAGGAATGATCATCAAAACAATTACCATGAACATACTTATCAGATTAAGAAACTGGTAGCATAGAACTTATGATTACATCTAGCCATTTCAACTGTAAAATGATGAGACCTATCTGCCAATCTAGTACTGCCCTGAAATTCATTAAAGTCTTGGTACCATAGAGAAGATATATTAGGTTGTGTCGTAAATAATTTGAATTTCTGTTTATTATCTTACAAAATTGTTTTCGAAAAACGGAAATTTCTTATGAGTCGAACTAATACTACTGTAGAGGTGATCCCGTGGAATAATGACTAGCGGCACCAATTGAGGAATCGGAGAGCCGAGTTCGAATTCCAGTCGGATCCATTACATTCACTTAAGTGCTAATAACCTTGGGAAAGTTACGAATCTATCTCTTCTTCTCTTCCACCCCTAGATTTGGGTAAATAGCTGAACAAACCTCGTTTATAGGCTTGAGTGGCAACCGGTCTAGGAGAAAGAAAAACTTTAAATTCAAACCTAGCCTCTAGTAGTTTGAGCTGTATTGCCCAGAAAGCAACACTACTGCTGTGGTTTCAGTAAATGAGTTGCCCCTACGATCCTGATGAGTTACGTGTCCCAATAAACATTATTTAGTCTGAAGAAGTCCTTTCTGAGGACGAAGCCTGTCATAGCGGATGCTCTTTTCCATTTTGTTATTCAATTACCATTAATACTGATGAGTTACGTGTCCCAATAAACATTATTTAGTCTGAAGAAGTCCTTTCTGAGGACGAAGCCTGTCATAGCGGATGCTCTTTTCCATTTTGTTATTCAATTACCATTAATACTGCCTCGAAATGCTATTTATTTTATGTTTGGCTTTCAGTTTATTTGCAAAAGAATGTACTTACTTTGAACGTGCCCATCTATAAACCGCGCATGTTTGACAGAGTTCAGACATTTTTGCATACAGCGCCACCTATCCATCAACACGTGGAACCACGGATAAGTTTGAAAAGAAATGATGGAAAAATAAGGATTTTGATTTTTAAAGCTCAAGGCGAGGCGTCAAAGGTTAAAACCTTTGACGCCTCGCCTTGAACTTTAAACAAACATTTGAGAGAGAGAGAGAGAGAGATAGAGAGAGATAGAGAGAGAGAGAGTGTGTGTGTGTGTGTGTGTGTGTTTACGATTAAATAAATTCGACTTGAGAAACGCTAGCCATCATATACAATATCTCGACCTCTCTACACACACACACACACATATATATATATATATGTGTATATATATATATATATATATATA